ACTAGTTTGCCCGCAAAAAAATTAAATCGTTTCGGCTTAATCAAAACTTTCCAGGCCGTTGGATTGCTAGAGGCCAAGAAGCTCCTATAAACTCGCCTTTTAGATCTCCCGATTTAAACTCCGCGCTTGATTTTTACTTCTGGGACCATTTAAAAAGTATGGTATATTCACCAGAAGTGAATACAATCGAAGAACTTTAGCAAAGAATTTTTTATATTTCTTACGAAATAAGAACTTCTGTGCAAACTTTACGGTCTGAAAACTGTAATTTCATTAAAAGACTGCTGCTAAGTTAACATTAGAATGGTTAATTAAATTTAATTTGGTTGTTTATATCGTTGCGCATATTGTAACCATGTTTTTATTTAAGTAAAATTTATTCAAACTATAATGCATATTATTTTAATTAATTTTTTTAAATTCTTTCAACATTAGAAATCTTAAACTGATTTTTGGTAGACATTTTAAATCGGAAATAATTTATTTGATCGAGATCTTAAATAACTCGGTAAATATATAATAATATTTTTCTCATTTTCTCTCTCTCTTTTTCTATAATAACGCCTCAAATCAGCTGAAATCTGGCAACAATGTATTCCAAAGGGGCTACAAGCCGCTCCTACGGCCATTTGCACCAGTGAACCTGTCGCGAACGCTATCCGCCACTTCTCAACTAGCAGCTCCAACCGAAACGCCAGCTATATCTCACCGGATAACATCTGTGGCGTTTCGATTCAAATAGAACTTCCAACCTATGTTCCGTACCCCAAAACAGCAGGGGCTCAAGAAGAAAGCAACAGCGGCTCCCAAAGCCGTTGCTGCCAAAAAGACAGCGATCCCCACTGCAGGCCTTCCGACTTGACTCCAACCACAGCTCCAACTACGGCTCTGCAGGAAAATAGGAAACGTAGGAGAGAGGAGCAGGACGACCTGGCAACGCTGGAGGAAGCAACAGGGATGGAGACATCCCAGTGGCTATTAGAAGGGCGGAAAAAATTCCGCCAATAAACGTTGAGGGCCAGAGCTGGAAGCAGCTCAGTAAGGCCCTCAACGAGGCAGGCATTATCGTGGATAAAGCCACGACAACCAAAAATGGCATTAGTCTATTAATGAAGTCTTCTGCGGATTTCAGGGCCACAACAAAGCTCCTGGAAAGCCTCCAGCGGCCGGACTACACGTACACGCTGCCGGAGGACAAGAAGCTAAACGTGGTCATTAGGGGGCTGCCTAATGACTACGAAGCTGCGGAAATTGAGGCGGAACTG